ACACAAGGGTGGGAAACAAAGAAGGATCAGAGATATAGTCCCAGAATTTAAGTTTCAGTACAGTAAAATCCACCCTTTTGGGTATACAGTTTTATGAGATTTGACAAACGCAGAGAACTTTGTAACAACTACCAAGACTAAGATGGAAGACATTTTATCACTTCCCAAAATGTCCTTCAGCTTCTCATTTTAGTCAAACTCTCCTCCACCCCAGACCCCTGGCAACCACTCATCTGTTCTCCTTCCTAGTAGTTTCACCTCTTCCAAAAACATCATCTACATGGAATGCCACAGTCATCTCCATGGAATGCTGTAGTATGCAATCTCTTGAGTCAGACTTCTTCTGTTCTGTATATTGCACTTGCGATACATTCATGTTGTCACATGTACCAATGGTGTGTTCCTTTTCATTGCTTAGTAGTGTTACATTGTGCCTATGCACCACAGTATGTTTACCCATTACTGGTTGATAGACATCTGGGTAGTTTCCAGTGGGGGGTTATTATAAATAAAGCTACTATATGTACACTGGTGTATAGGTTTTTGTACAAACATAAGTTTTCATCTCTCTTAGGTAAATACCAAAGAGTGGGATTGCTAGGTCATATAGTAAGTAATTTAGAAATTCAGAGAAAGAATAAGTTGCTGACCTTGTCTTTTAGCTCCTCAGGCAAACTCTATTACCTATTTCTTTGTATTTTTCTAAAGATTGTGTGTGTGTGTGTGTGTGTGTGTGTGTGTGTGTGTGTGTGTGTATGACAAAGAGAGAGAAACAGAGACAACATAGTCTTTTTAAAGCTCCAATCAAGCCAGGTGCAGTGGCTCTTACCTATAATTCCAGCAATTTGGGAGACTGAGACAGGAGACTATTGCTTGAGCCCAGGAGTTCAAGACCAGCCTGGGCAACATAACAAGAATTTGTCTCTACAAAAAAGAAAAAATTAGCCAGGGATGGTGGCACGCACCTATAGTCCAAGCTACTTGGGAGGCTAAGGTGGGAAGATTGCCTGGACCCAGGAGGTAGAGGCTGTGGTAAGCCATGATCATGCCTCTGCACTCCAGCCTGGACGACAGAGTGATACCCCCACTAAAAAAAGAAAAGAAAGAAAAGAAAAAGCTCCTGTCAACTTCCTGCCCACACTGTGGGACCAGCATTCCCAAAGCTGACTCAGCATCTTGCTACCCCCAAAAGCTATTCCTCACCTGCCTGCCCTGGCTTTGTTTTTGGAGCTGCCATGCTGTCAGGAACCTGGGAGACTTTGTGTCCACTCTCCCATATTTATACATGTGCTGTGGTCCCCTCCCTCTCTCCTCCCACTAGTCAGTCACCAAAAGCTGTCCTTCTCGTGGTTCTTCTCACAGTCGACCACCCTAGAGCTGGTTCCTCTCAACAGTAAAGCCTAACTTTTACTGAACATTTACTATGTGCCAAGCTTCAAGAATCACCATCAAATGTAAACGTCACACAATCTTACAAGAAAGGTACTGTTAACACTTTATACAGCTAAGATTCCATGATGCAGCTCATAAGTGGTAGACTCAGGATTTGGTCCCAAGCGGCCCAGACCCTGTGCATGTGACTACACCACTGCATCTTCTTACTCACTGAGATTGCCTTTTAGCAGTTGACTTCCAGACCTCACCACATCCAACCTTCACTATGCTCACAAGTTGACCTTCCAAGAGCATTTCTCTAATTACATCATAACTCAGATCAATGGACTTCACCACCTCTGAAGAAAGCCCTGGTGCCAGGCTTGCCATTCAAGGCAGGCATAGGCCCAACCTGTCCCATCCCACCTCCCGTGGGCACCCTATCCTCCAGCTGTCCCTGGCATGTCCTCCTCATTTTCGCATCCCCGTCTCGGCTCATGCGTTCTCTTCCTGGGAGTGTCATCTGTCCTCATCTCTGCCAAGCCAAATCCAACCCATCCTTCGTGGTTCAACTAAATGCCACTTTTTTCACATAGCCCCCACTTCACAAAGAAAGAGTTGTCATAGAAGAATAATACCTGCAATTTCTAACCCAAAACTTCTTTTCTCCTTAACATGAATCCCAGCCTTTGTGCTTTCACCCCAACAATTCTTACCTTCTCAAAGGTCTTATTTTAGTCACTAAGCTGGGCTGAAACCAGTTTGCCCAAAATCTAGCTGAATGTAACAATTTATTTATTTTCTTTTCTTTCTTGCTTTCTTTGTTTTTGAGACAGGGTCTCACTTTGTCACTCAGGCTGGAGTACAGTGGTACAATCATAGCTCACTGCAGTCTTGACCTCCTGGACTCAAGCAATCCTTCCTCCACAGCCTTCTGAGTAGCTGGCACTGTAGGTGTGCACCACCACACTCACTAGTATTTTGTTTTGTTTTTGTTTTTTTGGGTCACAGTCTCACTCTGTGGCCCAGAATGGAGTACAGTGGCACACTCACAGCTGCTGCAGCCTCGATCTGCTGGGCTCAGGTGATTCTTCCACCTCAGCCTTCCAAGTAGCTGGAACTACAGGCACGAACCACCATGCCCAGCTAATTTTTTGATTTATTGTAGAGAATTACCCTGGGCTCAGGTAATCCTCTCACCTCCACCTCCCAAAGTACTGGGATTACAGGTGAGAGCCACTGTGCCTGGCCTGGTTTAATTAAAAAAAATTTTTTTGTAGAGGTAGGGTATTATTATGTTGTCCAGGCTAGTCTCAAACTTCTGGGCTCAAGCAATCTTCCCACATCAGCCTGTCAAAGTGCTGGGATTATGGGCATGAGCCACCGCACCTGGCGGATGATGTAGCGATTTGATTTTTTTTTAAAAAAGAAAATATTCCATAGCAATTCGCATTTATTTATTTATTTTTGGACAGGTAATAGATTTACATTGTTTAAAATTCTGAAGATAAAATGGGTACAAAGTAACATCTTCCCTCTCATTTTCTAGCCACTCAGTTCTTTTCCTCACAAAACACAAATATTATTAGTATCTTGTATATTTTCCCAGCAATTTTGTTGTAGCAATTTTAAAATATCTAAAAAATATTTGATGCTGGGCATGGTGGCTTAAGCCTGTAATCCCAGCACTTTGGGAGGCTGAGGAGAGAGGATTGCCTGAGCTCAGGGGTTCGAGACCAGCCTGGGTAACTTGGCGAGATCTCGTCTATACAATAAATAAAAAAATATGCTGGATGTGGTAGCGTGCACCTGTAGTTCCAGCTACTTGGAAGGCTGAGGCAGAAGGGTCGCCTAAGCCCAGCAGGTCGAGGCTGCAGTGGCTGTGAGCATGCCACCGCACTCCAGCCTGGGCAACAGAGTGAGGGTCTGACTTAAAACAAAACAAAACAAAAAAATTTTTTGATACTGCTCCTTTCAGGAGGTGGCACTTAATTCCACCTCCCCTTGAGTGTGAGCTAGACTTAGTGGTTTGTAGCAAATAGAATATAGCGGATGTGGTAGTAGGCAGACTTCCCAGACAAGGGTATCAAAGACATTGCAGTTTCCTCTTCGCTTTGCTTTCACTTGGCTCACCCATTCTGGGGAAGCAGTTGGGATCCCAGAAGGATACTGGAGCAGCCCTCTGGAGAGACGTGCACGGCAGTAAACTGAGGCCTCCTACCCACAGCCATATGAGGCTCCATCTTGAAAGCGGATAGTCTGGCCTCAGACAAGCCTTCAGATGATTGCAACCCTTGCTGACATCTTGACTACAATCTCATGAGAGACCTTGAACCAGAACTACCCTGCTAAACCGCTCCCAAATTTCTGACCCACAGAAATTGTGAGATTATACAGTTGATTCTCACTATGTGAAGCAATTATGTTCTATAAAGTTGGCTGGAACACTGAATTGGCAAATACTACAGCTCCTCAGGGAACTACAGAAATGTTCTCGTGAGCCTCGGGTCACAACATTTTTTGTCAACCAGTCAATACATAAACTAACTTTATGTGTGTTTCTGTTTAAAGATACCTTACTTAATATACATTGTTGATTCATTAACATTGAACTAGCTACCAATAGCACTTTAATTCATGCCTGAATGAAACTTATTTAACACATATGTTTTCTCCATAAGGCACATCACCGCCTTCTTGAGCTTAGGAACACTAGACAGCACTTCAGCACAACAAGTGGGAGCCATTTTAAACAGTGACATCACCAACAAAAAGCACAAATATGAAAAAAAGTGGCACAAAGTAGACTTCAAAAAGGACACTTGTTTACAGTGTGAGAGCTAAGACAGGAAGGAAGAGTGTTACCTTGTTTGACCTTGGCTGGGAATGCATGTGGTGAAAAACTCAAATTCTTCCCTGCTCTGTACACTTCCATGAATGACGTGAAAGTGCTGTGAATATTGATTTTGGGTGGCAAATAAAATTTAGACAGTGGGTGAATTTCTAAATATAGAATATATGAATAATGAAAGTCAAGTATAAATACTTATTGTTTTAGGCCAGTAAGAATTGGGGTAATTTGCTATGCCACGGGAGACATCGAGTACACAAATCACAAACCCTAGTATACACATTATGATTTATTTCCTCTGCAGAATAATTATGTATAGATGCATAGAAAAGGATCTGAAAGCAAAAATACTAGGGACAACTTACTTTGGGTGGATGAACTTATGTGTTCTTTTTTTTTTTTTTTTTTAGTATTTAAAAAAATTTATGGGATAATCCATTCAAGGAAGATCACTCAGTCCAACTGAATGAAACCTATGACCTTCGGGTGCTGGCAGAAGCACTGGCCATACGTGTTGAGGTCATATTTGTGGATCAGACCGTGCTGGTTTGAGCAGATGCGGCAAGAGCGAGAACCCTGGCCGAATTTCGGGGGTGGCTCCAGCAGAGCTGTTGGTGGGCCCATCTTGCTCTCAGGCGTGCTAGGTGGCAAAAGGCATCGGTGTTCTTTCATTGCCTTTGTTTGATGGTATTTTCTGATATTTCCTGAAATGAGCATGTCCTACTTTGTGAAAAGAAACAAAAGGTAAGAAAACATTTTAAAAGAAAATATTTAGGCACAATCTGTCGTGGCTGCTGGACGGTTAAGCTTGAGCGCCCGCCGCGGTGGCGGCAAGAGGGCTCCCGGCTGGCTGCACGGGAAAGCGGGCGCCAGAACCGACCGCATGCTGGCAGGAGGACCCAGATCCCGAGGACGAAAACCTCTATGAGAAGAACCCAGACTCCCACGGTTATGGCCAGGACTCCTTTCTAGACGTCTGGAACATGCGGGTCGTCTTCTTCTTTGGCTTCTCCGTTGTCCCGGCCCTTGGCAGCACCTTTGTGGCCTATCTGCCCGACTACAGGATGCAGAGCTGGGCCCGTTGGGAAGCTGAGAGGCTTGTGAAGTATCGAGAAGCCAGTGGCCTCCCCTTCATGGAACCCAGCCATTTTGACCCCAGCAGGATTCAGCTGCCAGAGGGTGAGGGCTGACCAGTTGCTGAGTGGAGCTCAAGAAGCACCACCTTCCCCACGCCCCCCATCATTCTGACCTCTTCTCAGAGCACCTAATTAAAGGGGCTGAAAGTTAATATACATATATATATACATATATATATGCATATATATATATATAAAATTATATTGTTAGATGTCCTTGTTCCAGCTAGTTACCTATTGTTGAACAATTATTTTGTAATAAATCTCATATTGTTAGTTATTTATTTGACCTACCCGATCCATTATTGGACACTTAAGTAATTCCCTCTCATCTTAAACCAGATTACTTTTGGCCAAATTGTTGGGGGTCCCATGTGATACTACCTGCTCGATCGCCCTTCTCTAGTCCTTTTTCTTCAACCTTTACTCACTGGTTCCTTCTCACCTGCAGTCAAACTCCATCAGGTCTCTCCCATTAGAACAAACAACACCCTCCTTCCCCAAAACTGCCTCTTCCACTGGGTGCAATGGCACACGAGCCTGTAGTCCCAGCTATGCAGGAAACTGAGTCGGAAGGATGGCCTGAGCCCAGGTTGTTGAAGCTGCGGTGAGCCATGAACGTGCCACTGCACTCCAGCCTGGGCAACAGAGTAAGACTCTGACAAAAGAAAAAAAAAGGAAAAAAGAAAAGTCCTTTCTTTCATCCTAAATGCTCGGTCTAACTTTCCTAAACACTGCAGTCTACCTTTCACTTGCAGCAAGGCTCTCCCAGTTTCCTTGTGCCTGAGTCTGATAAATACTTCTCAGGTCCCTTATGACTCAAGTTCTTCAGGCTTGTTGTCTCCTTTTTCCTGGAGCACTCTCTGGGTTTCCTGGTCCACACACACTTTCTCTCTAGCTGTCTGACTGCTTCCCTGTGGGCTCTCATGCAGACCTTTCTTCTCTCCCTTCCCCTCCCCTGCTTCAGAGCAAGTGATCTCCAGGCTTCGCACACTTCCTCTTCTCTTCTCACTTACCCCCATCTTCAGTTACCATCTGTCTTTTGAAGACTCCCATCGGGTCCTACCAGCTCCTTGGTGTCAGTCCTCTCACATCCATAGCAGCCATCTAATGGGCCTCTCACTTGAAGTGCACCCCACACTCGGCTTGTCCCCCCAGGACCCAACATTAGTCTCTCTAACCTGTTCTCCTTCACCCTTTCCCATTTCAGTTCCTCATCCTAGAAACTTGGGAGAAACTCCAACCTTTTTTCTTTTTTTTTGAGTTAGGGTCTCACTCTTGTCGCCCAGGCTGGAGTGCAATGGCATGATCACGGCCACTCCAGCCTCGACCTGCTGGGCTTAGGCTAACCTTCCACCTCAGCCTTACAAGTAGTTGGAATTACAGACGCACACCACCACAACCAGCTAATTTTGTGATTTATTATAAAGAGGAAGTCTCAGCAAGTTGCCAGGCTGGTCTCGAACCCCGGCTCAGGCAATCCTCTTGCCTCTCTCTCCCAAAGTACTGGCATTACAGGCTGAGCCACCGCGCCGGGCTTCTTCCCTTTTCCTCAGACTCCACACAGTGCCTGGCATTCAGGAATATTCCGTAAATATTTATTTAATGACTTTATTCAACCACCAGGTCCAGCTGGTTTTATCTTCTAACAACCTGGAAACCTGCAGATCTCCCTCCACCATCTTCATGCCTGTTGTTTGTCTGTTTCTCCATTAGACTATGGGACCCTCTCAGAGGGGGCAGGGCTGTGACCCGGGACACTTTAGTTGGGAGAATGGAATCCAGCCTGCTTTCAGGGCGTCGAGCTCCGGGACCTGGCACAGGGCTGTCCCCCACGCGCTCCCTCTTCCACCCAGGAGGAGGGCCCTTGTAAGCGGCACCATCTTAAATCCTCTGATCTGCTTCCGAAGGGGCATCTCTTCCTAAACACCTAAAGGCGGAGGTGACAGCCATCCCAGCCCAGAGCCTGGCTCGGTCTGGCTGAGCCCAAAGGAGGCGAGGCTCCTGCCTCCGGGGGGCCCCACCCGGGCTGTGAGTTAGGGGAGGAGGGGGGAGCAGCGAGGGCAGAGGCGGAGGGCCGTGCGCCCCTGCAGCAGCGAGGATGACCAGGGGCTGGAAGGGCGGATGACCGATTTCTTCACTGCTCGCAGACCTCCCCGGGGGCGGCCTTCCTGGTTGGGACCTTATGCCGGGAAAAACCCAAGTCCAAACCCAGTTCTGGCTAGCAGCTCCGGGAGGGGAACCGCTCGAAGGAATCGTGGTTCTAGGAACTAGCAGCAGAGGGCGTCCTGGTAAATCGCTGCTAACGCGGACCGTCTGTGAGTGCGGTGGGACTCCGGGGGGCGTGGGGGGAGGGTGTGTGGCACGGCCACGAACCCAGGGGCGGTACCGAGCGTGGAGCCCGAAGAGGGCAAGCCCGAGTCGGGAGGCCAGGGGGAGGCTGGAATAAGAGACCAGGAGAGGAGTAAGGGCTGCAAAAGGCAGGGAAGGCTGGGACAGGGGTTAAGGAGGGACAGGGGTTAAGGAGGGATAATGTCGAAGTGGTTGGGAGAGAATGACAAATAACATTTGACTGGTGAATTTCCATGTTTAATATGTACATTAACCTTTTTTTAAAAGTTGCCTGCTAACCTGGTATAAAGTATTATCTTTGCTTTATGCTTTGAGTAGAAAGGGGAAAAAAAGACTGAGTTAACTTGTGACTCTATTATGTACTTACATATACCTTTTCTTTTAGAGAGGGTTAATTACCATCGCTATTTACACCTCAAAAACAAAAAAAAAGATGTGAGGGGAAGGGTCTGATGAGCGGGCGCACGTGGGGAACAAGCGTGAGGGCCAAGTGAGCTGACGGCCATGCCGTCGCCTGGATGACTCCCCCGCCTTGGATAGGAATACGGGGACAGTGTGGTGGCAGTCAGGGACGCGAGTAGGGTTTGGACCCGTGGAATGTGAGGTCCTGAGGGCCATCCCGTAGGAGGTGTGTACTGGACAATGGATATGCAGCCCTGGAGCTCTGGGGAAAGGTTGAGCTCGTCACTGTGTATGCAACCCGGCCAGCCCTGAGTGCTGGATGGCCCAGGTATCCTGAAAGGTAGACCCAAGCCTGGAACCGGGGGTGTCCGTACGAGAGAGGTAGCGGAATAATCAAAGTGGTGGTGAATGCGAGGGACGAGAGCGTTTAAAAGTGGACGGGGACGGGATCGGTGGCTCAGCCTGTAATCCAGCGCTTTGGGAGGCCGAGGCGAGTGGATTGCCTGAGTCCGCGGGTTCGAGACCAGCCCGGGCACCTTGGCGAGCCCTCTTCCCTACAATAAAAAAAAGTCAAAAATTAGCCGGGCGTGGTTGTGAACGCTTGTAGTTCAGTTTCCTTGGGAGGCTGAGGCGGAAGGATCGCCAGAGCCCACCAGGTGGACGCGGAGGTGGCCGTGAGCAGGCCACTGCACTCCAGCCTGGGCGACAGAGTAAGACTTCAACTCAAAAAAAAAAGTGGACGGGTACTCCCTTTGCAAGCCCTCTAAAGACGCTTTGTCAGCCTGGTCTAGGATCTTTTATGATGTGTGGGCCTGAGAATGGGAAAAGAGACAAAACCAAGAGGCTGGAGGGAAAGTGAGATCCCCAGCCAGAGAAACTAAGTTCACCTACACAATACATACAGCTGTTGGGGAGCATATTAAGAAAGAAGGTTGACCACTAGTTGCTTATTTCAAACAAATAAGCAAATGCATTCTACTATCTGTAAACTTTTGTGATTCATTAATTTTCTTAAATGAGATTATTAACCATTTGATCATTTATGATGTATAAATACATAGAGAAAAGTCACCTTCAATCCATCCTAGAATGTAACCTATTATTATTATCTTCTTTCTTTTTTTTTTTTTTGAGTTGGAGTCTCACTCCGTCGCCCAGACTGGAGTGCAGTGGCCGCTCCCGACCACCGCAGCCTCGACCCGCTGGGCTCCGGCGATCCTTCCGCCTCAGCCTTCCGAGTAGACGGAATTACAGGCGTGCGCTACCACGCCCGGCTGATTTTTTTGTAGAGATGAGGTCTCGCCTGCCCATATTTGTTCCCTTTAGGCTTTCATGTATGTGTGTGTGTGTGTGTGTGTGTGTGTGTATTTTTTTTTTAATTTTTTTTTACATAATTGAAATCTTAATGAAAATAAAATTTTTTGTTTTAATATTTAAAAAAAAAAAAGAAAGAAAGTCCATGGGAGGGGCGTCACTGCACTGAGTCTTGAGAAAAACTTTGGGTTTTGAGAGTGTGAGGGTTTCCAGAATAGCTTCCAGGGCAAAAGAGAATGGGAGAGGGAGAGAAAAAGTGGGTCTTGGAAAGTGTGTCCTTCTGGTAGAGTACAAATGGAAATTTCTTCTTGATTTCTATTTGGATGCCAGATAACACATTTTTGAATAGGGCTCTATCTATACTGAACCACATAGGACCTCTACTTTTATTTGAATTCATTAAACTTTAGCAAACTGGAATTTGGAAAGCACTTTCCTTAGCATGACAAAGGGAATCTATGAGAAGTCAATAGTATATGTAATGATAAGATGGTGAAATCATTCCCATAAAATGTAAGACCAACACATAAATGTCTACTATCGTTATTTATTCAACATTAGACTGAAGATCCTATCAAGACAAGAAGATCCAAAAAAGTATAAATTTTAGCAAGAAAGAAACCAAAATGTCATTATTGGCAAATGTTACTGTATTATATACCTAGAAAAAATTTAACTGAAAAAACTATTGTAACTAACAAGAGAATTAAGTGACCACATACAAGATCAACATGTAAAAATAAACAGTTCTCTTACATACCAGTAACAAGTGATTTAAAAACACAAAGGTTGGGTGGGTACAGTGGCTCATGCTTATAATCCTAGCATTTTGAGAGGCTGAGGTGAGAGGATTGCCTGAACCCACGGGTTCAAGACCAGCCTGGGCAACTTGGTGAGACCTCATCTCTATAATAACTAAAAAACTTAGCCAGGTGTGGTGGCACATACCTGTAGTTCCAGCTACTTGGAAGTCTGAGGTGGAAGGATCACCTGAGCCCAGCAGGTTGAGTCTGCAGTGGCCATGAGCGTGCCACTGCAATCTGATGGAGTGAGACTCCAACTCAAAAAAAAAAAAGGAAAG